CCGAAGATGTAAAATGTAATATTTGCAGAAACGTTGAATCACTTTATGCGTTTGGCGAGGCTGATCCCCCAAAAATCCGAAGTTGTACACTGAACACTGAAGTATGTAGTAATATGTTTCTTGTTCAATAAAACATAAGTTATAATACTTAAAAAGTTTCTACAGGCCACACAGTTTGCGCGTTTTCCTATAAATTATTTGTTGTCTCCATGAATAGAACAACCCCATATTTATTCGCCAAATAAATATTATTTAGATGCAATGTTTTGTTTCTAGGTTTATGCGTTGGTCTTTTTATGTCACAAAGTAATTGTTCTTTTTTAAAAAAATAAAAAAAATACTATCATTACGTTTACTACTTAATGATAATACCCTTTCAGGAACGCAACATCGCCATGTTTAACAGAGTCTCTTAGAGAAAACGCGTTTCCGAGTTACGTGGCATTTTCCACGCAAGTACCACATAAATCGGAGGAGATTATAGTTTCATAACAGTGGCTTTTATAATTTATGAGTAATGCACTTACAGACATTTCCCCAAAGAAGAAAGCCTTTATTTAGCTGAGATAGTCACTTGTTCAATAAGACAGTCGTCTCGTAATAGAAACAATAGAGTAGACGAAGAGTAATGAAATACTGATATTTGTTTTCAAGATTGATGTGGACCAACGCCGTCACAGCGCTCAGGAATAAAAAGTGGCAATAAAAGTGTGAAGGTTCTTCAGATGTGAAGCCTTACCTTGGTTTAAGTTGTTTCTGTTGATGTAATGTTGAAGTGCAGCTTAAAAATGACATAAAGAGGCCGAAATAGCGGCCATAAAACTTTATATCCCTATGTGGAGTCGCGGTTGAATTTTATATACTTCCATTAATAACATTTTTTTCGTGTGTCGAGTTACATTTTACGTGTCGTGTGTTTTAGAAACGAATAGTAACATGTCTGTATTTTAATATCCACGGCGTAGCGCGCTGCTGTACAAGTCTGTTACTGAACGTAAGTGACGCCCTACAGGGATTACTGAGTATTCTCTCTCTCCAACGAATGGACGCATTGTAATCCACTGTCTTTATTAAATATATGTATTCATCCCCATTTACATTTATTCGCTATTTGTTCTTCCCTTCTTTCTCTATCGTGTCTTCTTTCTTCGTTCGTTCGATTTTTTCTTTAATTTCTTACTCTTATTTTATTAATTCTTATCCAAAATAAGATAAGAATTATATATTTGTTTAAATCTTATCAGTCTAATCACAATAAAATTCCTATTAAATATTAAAATATTACCATAATTAACATTTAAATATTTAAAATATATTAAAATTATGTTCTCTATCGAAATATATATTTTAAATATTTAAATGTTAATTATGGTAATATTTTAATATTTAATAGGAATTTTATTGTGATTAGACTGATAAGATTTAAACAAATATATAATTCTTATCTTATTTTGTACCTGTTCTTTCACTTCATTTTCTGTCTTTCCCTCCGCTTGTCCAACCATTTCTCTGTCGCCTTTACTTATTTCTTCTTTGCTTTTCCTTCTTATTTCCCTTCCTGTTTGTTCCTTTCTTTCGTCCTTCTTTATTTTCTTCTGTGTTTGTTTCTTACTTCCTTTCACATTTGTCAAAAACTAACTTTAAAATGTTTTGGTGTTACCAGGTCTTTTTATTTTTGTTTCCTCAGTTGGTAATTCTTTCAGTGGCGCCCAATAGTAAACACCTGTACACACCCACATTCTGTGTGCATATCTGTTACGTGCTCCGTGTACACATGAACACATCAATCTGTTATGCTGTATGTGCTCTAATTTGTTTATGCATAATTACAACCATTGTGTGCGGTTATCAGCTTTTCACTACAACGTTAACGTCAGAGAGCTCTGTTCTGGTTAGAGCTGCCCCTGTCAGCTGAGTCAGTAACCATTCTGACATATACACGTGTCGGTTCTTTCCTGAAACATTAAATAAAAAACCTCCGTGGATATTTCACGATCTGAAATATATTAGATCTATTACATCTCTTTCCTATCCATTAGTGAGAATGTGTAGTCCATGAGTTACGTAAATTTTCCAAATGATTTTATTGTATTTCGTGGTTATCTATTCTTAATAAAAGAAAATGTTGCCATAAAACTAATAAACGGTTCTTATACAACATAACATAGTTGATTTTGTTTCTTCCACAGCGTCACGGATTACGACCCTTGATTTGTGCCGGATCGAAAATTTTAGTTTGTGAATGCCTTTAGACATTTTTTAAAATTCTTCTCACTTCTATTTGTATTTTAATGTCTTTTATATATTTTATTTTGTTTTAAGTTTTTCGAATGTGCGAAGTCCCGTTGTCTTACAGCTTCTGTGTTCCGTTTCATTTCATAATGCTTAATTTTCCTCTGATGTGTTCCTTTTATTTTTAATAATATTAACCATTTTGCTTCTATTTTGTTTATTACGCATTTCACCGAATTTTCTATATAAATGTAACATGTATTTACGTAGTGCTTCAATTATGTAACTCTTCATACGACGGCACTTCCTTTATCAAATTTAAAGTTAAATTTGAGTTTTTCGTGAAGCAGGATTTGTATTAATAGATGCGTTCTAAACTTAAATTCGTTAGATGTCTTTTAATGTTACTGCTGTAACAAAATGTAATTGAATCCGTTTAGCTGCTTCGTAGATGAAAAATGCGCGACGGACAGTGAGAAAAGACGTCCCCATAATCCATTCATGTTGTATTTTACGTGGAATGATTGTAGAGAAAATTTTCGAAGTGTACAAATATGAAAACATTTTTGTTCAGAATTATTTCGCGTAACACAAGAAAGCTTCTAACTTGTACAGTCCTTAAAAACCTATACATACAAATTACATTTATCAAAATATAGGCCTGTTACGAAGTAAGTTATGAAATATTATTGTTCTTTATTTATATCTACACCTCTTTCTTGTAGGTCCTTTGTTTTATTTAGCCGATAAACGCAGAAGTTTGTGATGGACTTCAAGTAAAGTGAGAGTTTCCGATTCTCAATATAACAGCTGTAACACATAAATCAGTAAAAAAAATTCACCAAACATCTGTAAACGTACCAGGAGTTGAAGATCATCCTGATGAACAGATTTCTTCACAAGATGTATGGCACACATAAAGACTAATTCATCTGAAGTTGAGGCAGTATTGAACGCGCACTGCGCCTAGGATTCGGTCTTGGTGTGACATATACCTGTAGGCAAACCTAACGTCTACTACCTTGGCTGCCTTACACAGAATCGCTTCTATGTAATATATTGATTACACACGCTTCACAGTGTTAATAACAGGGGGAAGAGGCCATCTTCGGCATGCCGGCAAGTTCATTAGAGGTATTATCTTCCTGACTATAGCTGACGTTTGCTGAAAACGCTAGGCAGTTCAGAAAACATGTCTGAAAGCAGTTAGGAGCGGAGGAAGCTGTCTTCTAATATTTCTTGGGAGGTAATTTTTCTTCTAGTATATCTCTAAAGATTTTTAAGTAACTGGTAGTGCTACTGAAAGAAGGGTCTAAGAGTCTTTTTTTCCACGTGTTTGTATGCATGTTTGTAGCCTGTATTCACAGCGCAGTTTGGGGAAAGTATGTCAACATTACCAAATCTGCTCCGACGGACATTTTCTGACAACTTATCCCAGAAGATGAATATGTATCACATAAATCAGACTTGAATGTATCACGACGTACAAGGATCTATAATCACGTAGGATTACATCAGGGCTTTTACATCCCACAACATTATAATAGGTTCAGAACTGAGGTTCTTAGTTGGCGAGTATAAATATGGCAGTCTTCTGGCTTGTTTTACCATGTAATTCGGTAGAAGATTACCGACATTTCAGAGGCGAATTGCCTTGATGATAGAGGCAGCAAGCACTTTTGAAACGCTGTGAACTTCTACCATATTACACGGATTAACAAACCAGGAGACAGCCATCTTCGTTGAGGAAGTTTTCAGCAGATTAAAATTTCGTCATTTAATCCTGATAACTTCACAGATGACGAGTTCCTTGTAGCATGTGCTGTGTTTATCACGCTATCAAGTTTCATCTTATGTAGATAATCCTGAGTCCTCAAACTGCAAAACTTCAAACTTCCTTGTTCAAGTTCTGCTAGAAGTAAACATTTGGTCACATTGCACCAGCATTCAGTGAACCTCATTCCTCTCTTTTTGGATGACCGCGATAATGTTGCCCTTCCGCCTATAGGTCACCCAGAGAAAGGAATTACAGCTACAGACGTACCAACCCTCCAAAACAAACTGATGTGTTATTAGAACTGGGCGCAAAGAATGAAGATTCAAAACTCGAACAGCCTGGAAATTAAGAATGCCTGGAAAAGCAAAACCAAGGATGGTTTGAGTAAAACACTTAGCTTGTACGAGCTCTCGAAAACACAGCGAAGTAAAGACGTTTTAGGACGTTGAAGCCAAGTGACAGCGACGAAGCCTTCTGCATTTACTGCCATAAAAATAAAACCTCGTGTGTTTTTAACTCGATAATTTATATAGCGTCTATGACGACTGCATGAATGATAAATTAGGAAGGATGTGAAGGATGATTTCGTGGCATGCTAAGTATTCGGGTGCAGAATCCGGTGCGTTACCAACTAATCATTCGTAAGCATCCTATCATTGAGAGCCGTGGTAACACTTTTAGTTTTATATAACGCATTTAGATGCCCAAGAAATAAACATTTCTTGCTGCCATTACGTGTTTCCATGGTTTGGGGTTAGAGAATTTCCTTAAATAAACGAAACAAAACAAAACAAAACGCCCCCTTGGGAATGGTGTTGGTGCCAATACTTGAAATCAATTGATTGAAGGTTATTGAGCCATTGATCCCATCAATTCTGATCAATCAGAAACGCCATGCGACTGTCTTCGAGCGATCTGTGATGGGTCTGCGTGTCCCAGGGGGCGCAGTGCGAGGAAACCCAAGCAGCACTTCATTACAAACAATCTGACAGTCGGGTTCCGCAAACATACCAGTTCAATTCACAGTGGGTTGGCCTCGGATTCGGACGCGACCGCTCTGCCCAGGGGTTGCCAAGCAACGCGTCGTAGCAAGTTGATTCGATCTGGCTGCCATCTGGTGGCATTCAGAACTGGTAAGTATAGGAATGTAAAAGGAATGAAGAATACAACTGGACAAATGAAGGACAAGGATAGAAATGATGGAAAGAAAGCTAAAAGGAGAGAGAGATAGAATGAAGAGGAATGCAGGAAATAAAGAAACAAACGAAGGCAGACAAGGAGAAATGAAAAACAAAAAATATGACATAAAAGAGAGACTGAAATACACAAACTGCTTGGGCTTGTTCGCATTTATTGACCGGTATACAAAATTTCTTGTGTATATACCGACATTGGTTTATGGTGTTAAATACAGACAATGATAAAGTTACCAGAATCAGATACAGTCAAGTTGGCATCCCTCAGATCGTGCAGGGTTATCTTTCTTCGATAAAAGGAGAAGTGAATTAATATAAAGGAATAACTGGAGATGTGTAACTTAAATGATGAGATTCGACACTACATAAATCAGTGTCTCTGGTACACAGAACGAATGGATTAACACAGTTTACCAAGACAGACATTGAAATGATGTTCTAGAGATAGAGGATCGATTGGTAACAAAAAAAAAGAGAGTTTAAGATCACGTTTCGAAGCCAGAACAGGTTTAAACCTAATTCTTGATCCCTGATGATGGTGATTATACATTGTTAATTCATTTTCTTACGTTCGTCTCTGATGTGATTTCACACTTTGGCATAGTCACGTACTCTCTTTAGAGAAAATGTTACTGTAGAATATAAAGTCTTATTTTGTATCTGAGAATAGGACTAGTCGTTTCAAAATATTTTAATGACGCACTCAGTTTAACGTCTCCTAACTACTAGCTTGTCGTTATTAATCGTGTTAAATGTAACCGACTTTCAGTGTGTTTGTTTGAAACCCCTTGAAGAACAAATCCTGCATCACGTTCCAGTAAAGTTTCTTAGCGTGTCGCCCTTTCAGTCCAACCGAAAGGGCACGCAGCTGGAATTTTCCAGTCTACCCTGCTATTAGCTGGACCCAATTGGCGCTGAACGTAGATATCATATATGGCTCTTGCGAAATTTATCAACTTGTTTATATAAATGAAATCTGAAATATATGACAAAGTGCAGGGATGTTGTTTTATACCTTTATTACATTTATAACCTGTATCCTCTAGGCATGTAAAATGGAACTTTGATTTAGGCAAAACGTAACACATCTGTGTTAGTTGGGTCATTGAACTTTCAGGATATTTTTTTAAGTAGCACAAACTATGTAAACGCAACTAATGTTCTTAAAAATTATATGAATCTGAAAATTCAAAATAGAGCAATAACTGTTGTTTCCAGCTTTAACGTTTCATATTTGAACTGACGTAAATGTGGTTGGATGCACACAGGGTTGAAGTAATGAGATTGACGACTGCAAATTCGTAGGACACAGTTCTAAATTTTTCATTAAGTGCGTTTCAGTAGTATGGAAATATGTATTATGACGTGCTGTAATACTGTGTTAGTTACGAACAAAGGACATACGTATGCTTTTTAATGGACTAGAAATAAACATAATCATAACCGACAGTATTAAAGCCGTCATGTCATGTAGAAGTTTGCCTGTCAGGCATATATTAGGAGCTTTCACGTTTAATAATTTACATATTTCTGCACACCGCAGCACTTCTTCAGTTCAAGCTGCTAGCTTTCTATTTAATTTCTGTTCCATCTGATATTTTACGTTGCTCTGCAGAATTCAATCCTCGCTACTTTATTCCTAGTATGCACATTGAAATGGTGATATTATGGGGACACCTACAACAAATTGTGGAGGCTAAAAATGAATGCAAAATTGTAGTTAAGAAATCCGCCGAAAAACAGCATTGGAATATCTAGACGGAAGTGGGATTATAATACCAATGATTAGAAACAGAATTCCAGGATCTATGTTGCATTCATATGGTTAATGATAGGGTTTAGTTCCGGGATCTTCTGAACACGGAAAATAAATTTTGGGTTGCATAAAATACTTTTTTGTGTCTGGAGACAAGTCCAGAAACAGGGACCTTCCTCGCCCACATTGTGCAGAGCCAAGAAACAGAACAAAGGGTAACGACAAATTTCCGTTGTTATAGTGCTTTTCGCTAAAATTGGCGCCTGAGTCGAGTTCTGCCCTTTGTGAGTGAACAGTCAGCGCAGAGGATCTCAGTCTATTCAGAAATTTCGTGGCAGAAACACGGGCAGGCTTTTCAACTTTACACTTGTTCCTTGTTCTTTGCGTGATATTGTAGCTTATTTTCTGATCGGGAAAACAGACATGGATTTGCATAGCCAAACTCGCGAATTAAAATACAATATTCACTTGATTCTTTGCATATATATATATATATATATAAATATATATATATATACATTAAACAAAACAATTAACATTTTCTGGAAAGCGAGTTTTTACAGTGCTGCATTTGGCAACACAGTATTGTATTTTTCCTTTTCCCCTCTTTGCTTCAAACCAAGTCATAGCACGCGTGATTGGTGCAGGCCTCAGCTGTCAATTCGAATAAAAAATATAGTGAGGATTGATTTTGATTAAGGGAATTCCCTGAACGCGGTCTTTGTCTCCCTTGTCACGAGGCATCGGTGCGTGTGTGTGTTTTTGACAGAGCAAAGGGAGGGGAGTTCCTAGCCACTCCTACAAATTCGTTACAGGTGCGATAATGAACCTACGTGTCTATACAGATTTACCCTGGTTTCATGTGGTATTCGTAGCTGCCAAAAACAGCAGGACGTTTTCATTTCACCTACCACCGAACACACTTCTATTTCGTAGTCACTTGTAGGATGGTATCACAGATCTGAATTAGCCTTCGCTTCTCATTTTGCTTTTGTTTCCCTCTTTGACATCGTCCATTTTTGTAGATTAAATCACAGCGCGACATGTGTTATGCAGAAACATGTGGTATTTTTTTGGTATCCCATATGTCAGGATTTGCTATTCGCTCAGAAAATACAAATTGGTTGTCATATTAATTTGAGTGCACAGAAAATTGTGTCTCAAGCCTTGTTACAGAGGATAGGGTAATGGGGGTGTTTGTTATTTTGACCACTATACACAGGAAATACAAAGATGGAAATGATATGATTCTATTTTTTACATGGACATAGCATATTTATGCTTTAAACGAATGCATATGGCTGTCATCTAGGATAGTGCGCCGTGTAGTCTGGTAGACGTTTACTGACGTTTCAGAGGTTGTTTCTGCCTCCATCATCAGGACGATGAGCAAACGTTTACCAGACTATACTACGCAACACCCCAGAAGACAGTCACCTTTATCTCGCCGCTGTAAGAACACGAAAACTCACTTAATATATATCTTCCTCTGACATCAACTGTACATTATCCAACAATACCATAGATCTGTATTTAATTATAAAATATTTGTATAGTCACCGTTGAAATATTTATAAAATTGGTTTTCAAACACAGCAAGTCACAACGATTAAAAGTCATGACGCATTTTACAAACATTTTTCTTAAAGTTATCACCAGAATGCAATTAGAGAGACTAATGTGATAGCCAAATGAGAAATGTTTCCTTCTGAGACTTAGGCTATAGAGGAGTCCATTTCAACGGCGAGAACAAAAGGAAAGTGTATTTGCTATGGACGTATTCAGGAGATTCGAATTTCAATGAGCGCTTGCTAAATTACCATACAGTACAATGTAAAACTTGTTTAATTAGCAGAGTTCAGTGTTGTATTGTCTGGAATAAGAGCGACAAGAACGAGTTCAAAATAATCGGTTACATCAGTACATCTGGTTTGTGTTTATTCCACGAATTATTTGAAAATGTTAATTAATACCACGTACCTGTAGTGTGATAGATGGAAAGTCAATGCAAATAGTCCACTTCGAAGACAAAGGACCAGGCATCGACATTGTTTTCAAGTGAGTACAATATGTGAAGAGAAAGGCGAATCGGTGGTTCCTTCGTTAACCCTTTAGAACCCAGAGTGTCAACCGATGGTAATTCTGCATTTTATGTGCGTGTGTGTTTTCGTACGATCCTCCGCGTAAACAGTGAGTATTTCCTTAAACACCACTCACCAGTTGATCTTTATAACAGCGAAGTGTTGTGTTTTACTTTGAGGTACGGACTAAATCTTAAATATTATCTAGACGAGCTGGCACTATCTAGGAAACTTCATAGATGAATGTTAACAACTACATCACGATTTTGGCTTCATTTCTCTTGTGAATCGATCTACCATCAAAACAGAGTTCAAAAAATAAAATTTTGACAGGAAATATAATGCTGCTTTCATTCATTAATCTGTGATATACGTCGTAGTTTCCAGGAACGTTGAGTGATGGCCTTCGTCATGGCAACCCTCTCAATGCGTCACTACTTGCGCGTCTCACCTGCTGACGTGGAAGTCATTTGTCAGCGTAATAACCGTCACTTGGAAATTCACAAACGCGACGGTTTTACTTAAGGCTTGGAGCAGAGTTATAGAGCTGTTTTCATTTAAGCGTGTTATCTATCTAATAAAAACTATTAATATTAGAAGAATCATGGAATCCCTTTGTTTTACCTTCTCTTTACCCATTGATGTACATCGACGGCTGCAGTACGTTCTCCCTCTAGGTTGGAATGAACTACTTTCACTTCTGTTAAGTCATCTGAATAAAATCAAAATACGTCGATTATTGATCAAAAATTAGTTCTGTAAAATTTAATGACAGTAGTTGTGTCAGAAATTGGCTGTTGTTGAAAAACATTTGATATATGATGTTTCTTTAACTAGCTCTCCTTTCCTCTACATGTGATTGGTTGTCTGTACATTGGCAGATATTTGTTGTTCTTACGTTAGAAAGCAGTGGCAGTGATAAGGATCGAACCAGGAACCTTTTTGTCACAAATCTCGACAGTAAAACGAAGAAGAATCTCTTGGAATAATGACAAGTAAATCGTGTTTACTTAATATATCACAGACAATTCCCAATACAATTGTGGTGTAGTAAGCAAATGTTTTGTGAAAGAGATTTTACATTTGTTTTGAAATCTTTAACAGTTTTGTGTTCGTATTTTGAGCAAACGGAACTATGTAGCAGGATTTAAGATTCTTGCAGCTGTGAACAAGAGTATATAAACTACTACTTTTGTCTCCTTCTGATATTTGCTGCTCGCCGTATCGCTGCGGCAACTTCTCCTGCAATTATGTTACGCGTGTAGTCTGTGCAGTTATCTGCAGGCGATGTTCTTTTTCCTTTATGTATTTATATAGAAGTGAGAGTAATTGGCCATATTACGCTTGTTTCATCTCACCTATTCATATCGACTTATGCAAGCACGGGAGATGCTATAATTTGTGTAATGTTCTAGTTTTTGAACGTAGTTAACAGTTCTGAACATGGCATTATTCATTTACGAAACGTAATTCTAGTCTCTGTTCTTGGAGTGAGTGTTCGTATCCCTCCATTTTATGCATTTTTACGACAGATTAAGAGATGACATAGTAATGGACAGCTGAAGGGAGGAAGTGTCGCTGAATATGGTATGGATTAAGAAGATTTCTAAGATGACAGGGGCCCTGAAACTTTGGTTAACTTCAACCGGACTACACGGCGCATCAACCCAGAAGACTGCCATCTTCATGTTCACCGCCGTAAAAACCTCAAATCGTACATGAAGACGGCTGTCTTATTGGATGTTGTGTTATCTACCGACGTGTTAGAGGAGTTTTGAGGCAGCATGCACCTCTGAAACGTCGGAGAAATGTCCCAAAACACAGTAATCTTGATACTCGCCGCCTTAAAACCCCGAAATCTCATATTTTTTGTTAAATTGATGTCTTTTATTTTACCACTTTGTTACATCTTATTTGTCGCTTATGATTTTTTATTTTATTTTCTTCCTCAGTTGGGGAAAAGCAGACCCGACAGTAACGCGCTACGGCGCTGAACTACGTCGAGGAACCTGATGGCCACCAGGGACATCAACGCAATGGTAAGTGCCAAAAGTTTATTTGCTGGTCGAGAAAATGCGATTGTTCATAATCTCCTGAGTCATAAATTTCATACAGCATTTATATTTCATTTTATCTCTAGATGACGGGAGTTCAATGGAGTGAACTTTATAATCATATAATTTTGTTAATGAACTATTGTTTTTCCAGTAAATGTCAAAACCGAACCTAGCAAGAAAGAAGATATTTGCATGGTATATATCAATCATTATGAACTAATTAATTCAACATTTAATGTTACACATAAATACACATTCTTAATTAGTTTTCAGGTACTAAACAATGCAATATAATTAAAGGAACTAGGTTAATATAAGACATTCATAAAACATCATGTATTATATTAATGTATCAAATTCCATCTAATTATACCGATTCCGAATAGAAACGCCTAATGTATTGAATTTTTAAAGAATTATTGCCTGTTTAGAGATCATAAATGATAGTTTCTTTTAATGCATGATGTTAAAAACTTTAATTTTTTGTGTGTTGCCAGATAGGGAATAAATCACTTTACACACGGGTTTTCGTATTTTCCAAGCCGGCAAGGCAAAAACATTAAGGAATTATATAAACTATATGTTTTTCAATTTACATAACTTGTAAAATATTTAAAATTTTCTAGTATAATAAATGGCAGCTTGAATTAAAATTTAATTGGCAGGATTGTTCTCAGAGCCACCTTCAGCAGTTCGCGCTAAAATGATATAATTTTTTGTAAATTACACTATAACATTTTTGTATTTAACATATTTTTAAAAATACATTTTAAATTATGTAAAAATAATATTCTATGTTAAGGAGTACATTTAAATTTCAGCCCTTCTGCTGGGTGAACAGATATCACTGCTTCAATTTGTCTACTTTAAAATTAATGATTTCACTATATCCCCCTTAATTCCCATTAAAATTAAATGCTGTCTTCTGATAAACGCCATTTTGAGTTTGTCTCACACCTTGGTGCGAACCGGCCATGTTCTTCTCACGTTTGTGTCGAAAAGTAACACAAATATTTCATTCATTCAGAATACGAAATGCAGTCCGTGACCTGAATATATTTTCATAAAAATAAAGCATCTAAATGCATTTTGAATGTATAGGCAAGGTTAATGGAAAAGTTGACGTTTAGTTTTGTGTGAGCGATTCCCGCGTTGAGAATGGCGTGCGTGTTCTGGACACTATTGCCAGCCGGGGTCCACACACACACACCAGGACGAGGCGGTTTCCTGCGGAAGTTGGCGCCCGATTGCAATTAGTTGGACCAGTCTGAGAGAGGGGTGAGTGAGGGAGAGACGGGGGGAGATGAAATACGGAGAGAGCAGAATAGTGGTAACATTTGAGGTTCTGAAGGCAGAGGACACGAAGGGGTAGAGTTAATAACACATGACCCAGCACCAATTCTTTGTCAGCAATCTTTATGTAGTCGGTTTCAACACGTTTTCGTGTCAACTCGGTGCGTTCTATGCACATCAAGGGATTGTAAGTTATCTTTGATGGGAAAACTGTAATCCAACCTCAGATTTGAATTGTGGGAAGTTATTACTCCAGAGATGTCTTTCTCATCAAACCTTATGTAGAAGGAAAACCTGATACCTTTCCAATTATATCAGAAATGGATTGATGGTGGATTAATCTCAACAGGTGTATAGTGAAGGAGACGAAATTCCATCTAGAGAGGGAAGAAATACGACAGGGTTTAAAAATATATTTTCCTTGTGCAAAGAGAACTGTTTCATTGGCCGATTCAACGACCGCAACAAATTAGCTTTGAGATTTATTGAATCGTAAAGAATATTCATCAAAGAAAAGCTTCAGACGTGATTATGGAAATGTAATTTATATACTAGTTCCTTTGTATAGCATTATCATTGCGTAATACGCATCATTTAACCTTCAACGCAAGAAGTTACCTGCTCTGATTCGTTATAAATAAATGTGCGCTTTATATTACTACATGATGAAATATGTAATGCTGTATTGACTTTCTTTTTGTACGCTTAATGCAAGAGTTCACAAAGATTTTTTCCAGTGTCGCTTTTCCAAAGGCTTATTTCACGGTTATTGCCTTCAAATCAGACCTATGAGTGCACAGCGAAGGCATGATCTGACCATTAGGGATATAACACTACCATTTTAGCGATCCAATCTGTTGAATGTAATGTTTTAGTAGACGTCTAAAAAAATACAATTTTCCAATTCGTAAGTAACATAGTGACAAAGGTCCATCGCTGCAACAAAATAAAAGAGACGGTTTTAATTTAAACTACTATATTCTGATTTACAGACAGTAATAACTCTAAACTTCAAGCAAGTCTGAGACTACTAATTGGACCAGCGGAATTCTATTCCTGATAGAAGCGTTAAGATTTTTCTGTTCACCGTGTTTAAACCGGGGAGGCATTTTATAACCTTCAGTTCAATAGGTTATTTCCAATGACAATAATTACGGACGAAATATAAAGTGATCCCCTTACCTCCGTTTAATCCCGAGATTAAGAATGCATGGAGCTTTACATCCGCGCCCCCACTACACTTTAATAACGTGGTAGTAAGCAAGCACAAAGATGCCTTCAATTTTACTTTTCCTGTTATTTTTAGAAACGTAAAGTCAATTTAGAAGTCCTAAATTAAGATGAAAATAATTTGTAATAAAATTTATTGAATAATTCACGAGAAAACTACAGCATTCTTCAATAAGTGGCCTGTGTTGAAAACACGTCCCCTTATTTAGAAATCAATGCTAACTAAATAACCTCCCAATGGGGAGAGAGTAAGAAAGAAACGTAGTAAAAACAGACGAATTTCGACCTTGCCCTACGCACTGAAATATTTTACTCCGTATCTCTCTGGTAACTCATGATGCGTTAGTTTCACGCTATCTGTGAAATAAATGGTGGCTCCCACGTCTTGGCAGCGTCGTCTCTCAGCGTTAATTTCAACAGTAACCAACTTCCTGGCAGAGTTTACTGGCAATAAAACCTGGTTTCTTTCTCTTCTCTTTTGTGAGCTGTTGACAGTAAATGTACGTCAGTAAATCATCTTTGGAATCTAGATTAATGTTATATCGACGGGTCGCCAAGGGCTAGTGGCTTCTCGTTAGATGGCAGGCAGCATCTAATATAGTAAATACCCTGAGACCGTCAGATGTACCTACCTTAGTGTAACACTTTCACATTTTAACTTCGACATCGTTGTTATCAACAGGCCTATTCAGCATCGCGGAGCTGGTTTTATGATTTTGTAACCTCTACTGGAAAATGCGAGATAGAATAGTTCAGCGGGTGGAAAAAACAAATTATAGGAGTCTGGGTTCATTTTTTGGCTTAGCAAAGATTCAACTCTTCTCTACCATGCTCAGACAAGATTTGCGGATCTCGCAGTGTCCTGTACTCATGGATGCAGGATTCTCTTCCGTCAGGGGTTAAGTCAACCGGAACGTGAAATTAACCGTTGATCACCTCCAGCGACCTACACTTTTCAATTTCCTGATGATTATTTACGGGAACAACTTTGTTAATTTATCGGATACAAAAATATTAATTTGAATCGTTTATTGCATTTCCGAGGTTTGTAGAATGGAAGTATATAGAGCGAAGTGAAACGATTATTATGTCTTTTAATATCAAAATAAACTGAGAAAATTCTCAATAATTTCATAAACAACTTATCATAATTTCTCGCTGACCTCTCCAGTCCCTTATGGCATTCTCTTGTCATACCACAATGCAGTGTCATATGGCAACAGAGTGGTTACTATGACTCTGTGCTGCTTTGACATAATTGTGTGCATTTCGCGTCATTTCCATCATTGTTTTGGTCATAGTTTCACTTCATGGTCGATAACACGTCCAACTATCACCGTCATGTGACACATGGCGATGGTCAGAATTGCATACATACCGCCAGCGGCCTTTATGGACACCGTAATAAAGCCACAAATTCCACAAAAGGCTAAACATTTTCTGATGAGCTTAAGAATATATGTGTTTTTCATGAAAGACTTTGCTCCATTGAGGCTTTGATGGAATTTAAATTCAGATCCCCAAGAAAACATTTCTAGACATTGATTATTCTAAAGTAAATCATAGATGGAACGATCGTAGGTCTGCATAGATTCAGTTTTATGAAGAGCTTGACCGAGAGCGTGACATTTCTAAGTGGAGAAACGTGGTTTTAGATTTTACACATTTAACATGTATTCTTGGATGTGGACCAAGTTTTGATAATTAGAGAAATTCTCAGCTAGGTCATTCGAGGAAGGCAGACCCTTAGATTCACTTCACTGTACGAAGCATTGTCGCTGACTGTGGACGTTAGCCTGGAGAGATTCTTTATAATTCTAGGTACGACTCAGACTGCTTAATGACCAAGTTGGTAAAGTACATAAATTCTGTGGCTCTAGTAATTTAGATAGACGAGGAGTATGAGGTGGTTGCAGAGTTAGTGGTGGTTAGATTACCACTCTGTAGGTGACAACATTACGATGCTGGCCTGACCACAGTAAAATTCTGTTCACAACACGCGTATCATAACGTAATAGTAATATGGCGTGAATTCTTATACATTGTTATTTTTAACTCTGGCTTTCAGAATATTTAGAAATATCTTTATATCATATTCGTTTTGTGACGGTATTGTCCATTACGGCCTCGCTGATAAATCCGTTCTTGCCTCTCGAATTATTTATGAGAGCCATATTTTAATACACCTTCAGACGTCGAATTGCCACACATCTACACTACGGTCTACAAAGGATTACCAGTTGCATTTTATGGTTATGAAAATTTCATTTGGTAAAACAAGTAAAAATGTTTCAAAGCAATGTGCCCAGAAAAATATATGAATCTTAAAATAATTTAAGACAATTATCTATAATTTATTTCTTATTATGTAACTGAGAGAATTCTGATGAATTTTCATTTCTGTTCTATTATATAAAGGAACACGTGTAGTCGTAACTCCATAAACATTAAAATTACAAATCTTAAATAACAACTGAACTGAAGGAGACTTATATACAGGTGAAAAGGTGTTCTCCAATACACAAATAGACTTTCCGAATTTTGCATCCGCCACTGCTCTTGATGTTTCTTATATTTATACAAATCTATTATTCGCATGTCCAGTGAACAACAGAAATTCTACACGCAACACACAGTCGTAATTATGCTGTTTGGAAAGTAAGTCACCAACAGAGGACATCACATACAAGTGGAAAATTTCGTTAATCTCATGTAATGGAGATGTGTTGTGTTTTCTTTGCAGTACGGACTGAGTTCTTAAATCTTATTAGACGAGCTTCGGCTTTCAAACAATTAAAGGAGATTATATGTAGTGTGAACATCTTTGTTATAAGTTTGTTAATGTTGTAAATTAACCTAAGCCCAATAATGTATGCAGAATCGTAAAGAATGTATTTGAAAAATTATGTACACTCCAACTTTGAATATATTCTGCATTACTTTACGTTACTTCGCATCTTTTCGTGGACGAAGGCCTACATTATCGCGGTATGGCCCATGGCCAAATATCTGGCACGTGGAGTGGGCTTGGTGTGTGGGGGGTGGGGTCAAAAGTGGAGCGTAGCATGCAGCCTACACTCGGCTGTGGGACATTCCTCCTTTCTTAACTCCTCTTCCCGCTTTTCACAGCCCGAACCATTCAGCATTCTCACCCCATCCCAGAAACACTACACTGTGTCAAATGTCGTGTGGAATTGGGCATGCAAAGCTAATCATTAAAATGCATTTGAAGCATGAAATGGAAGGTAAGACATCGATTTTTAAGAGTTCTAAGTTATATTCCAATTACTTAACATAAAAATAGCAGAGGAGGTCACATTTATGACCTCTGACGAGGGCTATATGCAAGTTCTGCACGGTCTGTGGGTTACCATGTAATAAATTGATTCGTTTTGCTAACCGGGAAATGGCGACAGAAAGGGGACGAGAATGTTTGCATAAGGCATACAGAGAATCCAATTAGCACAAAGAGTCCCGCACTTAACTGCACCGTATGTAAATTACTATCAGGTAAAAACTGCTTATTAATGCTTCCAGCAATCTAACACACAGCGTAACTAAGTAAAGAAACATCATACATATGTATAGGGTCTCTGCAAACAGGCAGTCCCATCTTTGCCATTAGCAGTTATAATAAGACGCTCTAGAAACTTTGGTACGGTATCAAAAATGTAGCACGTGTCTAAGTAGAGCACTTATACTGAATTGCTACCCTTTTGTAACAAGAGATTTAATATTAATTTACTTCACGGAGCAGACATCCATTATCGACAAGCTGGTAAGTCACTCAGTCAAGAAATTATCCGCCTTTCATAAAACCTGAATGTTCATACTATTTACACAAAAGCCCGCCACCGACCCCTGTCCTGGTCCAGATGAATGTATACACACGCAACTTACTTCCTCAACATTTTTACCTTCTCTGAAAAAACAAAAAAAAAAAGACATAGAGTTTATAGTTTAAATGCGTCATGTTTGTGTTTTAAAATTCAAATATATAATATAATTCAAGTCTATACACAAACTTTAAATTGTTGATGTTAAAATTTAAAATTAATATTGATATTTTGCGCTAACGTAATAACGATGAATAGCGCAAAATATCAATATTAATTTTAAATTTTAACATCAACAATTTAAAGTTTGTGTATAGACTTGAATTATATTATATATTTGAATTTTAAAACACAAACATGACGCATTTAAACTATAAACTTAATATAATTTGTAAATACTCTGTTATTAAAAGAGTAAGTTTCGAATCTGACTGTATCGACAACTAGAGGACAAGTAAAATTATGATATACAGGTAAGTGTGTATACGAATGAGAGTCGGGTAGGCTGATTTATGAGATCATTGTCTTGTGGAATAAAAGTGGTAAAAATATTTATTGTTTCCATCTTACGATTGTAAAGAAAAATTCAGCGAATAGCTTTGTCTGAAAGAAAAGAATGTTTCTTTGCCTAACACAAACTCTCTTGGGTCTTTTTATATTTCAGAATCTTCTAGATTCATGGGTTGATGAATTTCTAGGTCATAACGTCGTGTGGGCACAGAAAAGTTTGAGATATCTTTGGCTTCTGAGTGGGAGTGAAAGAGCAGATGACAGCATGTATAATAAAACTTGTCAGTGTGAACAAGTTGCAGTTCCGCTAGACGGTGAAAACAGGTGGAAAACTTAAAAGAAACAAGGAAATATTTCACTGCGTCAAGCTTATTTTCCGCAAAGTACTCGTAAATAAGAGCTGAAGGGACTCAGAAGTCTTGGCATATTTTTAACATATCACCAAATGCAACTGCTTAAACTATGACGTATCTGAATTGTACTCAGAAGGTACCTGATTCGAATCTTGGTAGAAGCACCGGCCGTCGTGCCCCAAAATTGTTGTTATTTTTCTCATTTCTATTAATCCTGCAATAGCACCTAACTAGAAATATGCTAAATCAATTCCTAACTAATTTTTACCCACCATACAAACTTTCCTAATTCCATTCGACGCTAAAAAACATATGCAGATGATACAATTGTTAAACAACTTACTGTGTTCTTTCCATGGAGGCAAATGATAAAATAATGATGAATTATAAGAAGGTAAGAATTTTGCAAAGCGTAAGGATCATTTTCTGGAGAAAAATATGTAGAAAACAAATTTCCCACTGGCCGAGAGAGGGCAAAGTTGTTTGATTTTTCCTTTGCCAGAAGTTTTACGAAGGCTTCAAACGACTGAAGTACATTCCCGTTATTTTACGGTTGCCTTTGGCTAGCGCGGGAGGAGTGGGGGTAGTGAAAGCCACGGAAGGATTTTTCTGTTTCACAGATAAACATCTGACCGGCTGCTACATATTTACTACGACTGTTCAGAATTTCATTTTACAGTTTATTTAGTATAGGCGGTGTATAGAACGGAGGTTTCTGTTAGCTCTTCAACACTCGGTCTATATCGTAGGTAGATATCAGAGAACTGACCCACACACCCCTGAGAAATAACTTCGACACAGTGGACTCGACCATGTTTCTAGCGCAGTTGGTAAAACACAAAGTAATATAAGAGTAACCAGGCGAATAGAGAGGAGAAACAAACACAGAAGGTAACAAACACAACACTCACTAGTCTCTGAAGTTGCTGCTGTTGCCACCAGGGGTCCAGGGACGCTGCAGAGACGCCTGAAGTGTAAGAAGTTGTGGCTTGATGATACACGTAACATTTAGTGAGGACGGCCGTTGTAGCCAGGACGACAGCGAGAGCCGTGATGGCTACACTCGTGCTCCTCCATCGCCTTCTCGACCCGGAGTTTGCAAGCAGGTGTGCGGCTGGTAGGGACGCGAGGTCACTCTGGGTCAGACCCAATTTCTCTCCGCGTCTCACCAAATCACGCAGCCTACGACGTGCCGCTACCACTGTAGAGGGCGGTGATCCCATCCCCTGCTGTAAACAGAGCGTTCGTTGACGCGTTTGCAAATCGTAACTTTGACTCTTTGCCTCAGACGGTTTCAAAGTCAGCCACTCGTATATTACGAACGTTAAAATCAACAGCTTTGGGGTTTATTTTCTCAGAAACTATTGAAGATAGTAATTTATTATTACACACTGAAATGTAACAAATAAAATAGTGGTATAACCACGGTAGATTCCCCGTCCCACAAAATTTAATTTTTGTAAACTCATGTTTTTAGTGATGTGTAGTACGCAACAAATACTTTTAGTCTGATGTAAATGTTAATAATAAATTAACATACTCTGGAATTTTTGGTTTTTGTATCTGAACCAGGAACAGATAATGCAATATGAAGGGAGTTTAAAAAATGTTTTTAGAGTCACATAGGAAAGGAAAATGTTTCACTACTGTGAATCTATGGATGAGCCATTATTTTTGACAGGGTAGCCAGCACATGAAGTGGAGTTTCCACTACAAAACACACAAACCTCTATCTCAAACAACTTCAGAAATATATATTTTTAAAATAAATACGTAGCGATCAACCAGAGTAAGATTAATTTGCTAGGATATATTGAATTATGTTTTCAAACTTAAGAGTTAGCATATGCATTATATACGGAGTTATTCAGCATACTCTCAGTTTTTAATTGAAACCGAAAATCAGTATTTTGAGAACCGCAGTTTCGCTGAAGGCACAGTGCAGGCTTATGTCGGGGTGTGTCAAACGGAACGGTGCGTTCTGACGTCAATTTATATGTGCCGCAACGTTTTGAATCCAAATGATTTTCTGGGCATTTAACAGCGGATCATAAAATATAGCAAGAACAATGGGATCTTATGCGGTCTGGTTTAGTCATCTCGTCGGCGTATTCTGTTTGCTGTTGCTGTCTCGATTCTGATATTTCTTCTTGAGATGCTAATAGTCTGTCAGCTAATTAATAAACCCCGGTCCTCATGGAAACCAAGTTTCGTTACCATGTTCATCACTAGTCCTCGTCACTGATTAGAATATTTAATGTCCAATCCGACTACATCGAGATGGAGCACAATTGCTGTCTGTTATTGACATTGTAACGGATGTGTCATGGAAGCATAGAACATCTTGGCCGCCTGAATGCCTGTCATTTTATAACCTTACCCTTTATCCTGTACGTTTTTTAGCCGTTCCTATATATACTCGTCGCAAGAAATCTCCAAGCTTCGTCAACCTTTACAAATGCACACGATATTGTTTCTATTCTCTTTCATACTTTCATTCTTGTAAGATGGCTGTCTTCTGGGTTGTAGCGCTGTGTAGTCTGGTAGACGTTCATCATTAGGACGACCTCCCTGATGATGGCAGCAGCAACACTAATAAACTTTTACCAGACTACACTGTGCTACAACCCAGAAGACAGCCATCTTAGTATTCACAGCCATCAGAACACCAAGTCTTCCTTTTATCTTCTTATTTTATTAATTTTTATATCCTCTCTTCTTTTTCTTTCATTATTTTTCTTTGTTTATTCTCGTTCGTTTTATCGTAATTAATTTCCGTCATGATGTTTTATTATATAAGTGGTACTGACATTGTTAAGTAAATGTTTAATAATGCTAATTGGATTGAAGTGGCTCATGTGTCCATTCTACTGGTAACTTTCGTTTATAATTTCCTTGCTTGTATGAAGTATAGGACCGTGCTCTTTCGTTTGAATCTTTGTGTTCATTTATACTACAAACTATTTTCTAGTTTGTAATCGCTTATCATGAATCGAAACTCAGATAACAGAAACTTCGTGGATATTTACGTCAATTTTGTCGTCCCTTCCACGCCTGTTCTTTATAAATCACACGACCAAACCCTAATATTTACGAATTATTCCATTTGCTCTCCGAATCTGTGGAAACACTAGACGTAACGAGGTTTCGTTTGTGGTAGTTCAATCAGAAATACGTTTACTGGAGCCCTCATAGACGATAATCCAAACGTAAACGACGAAATAATTATTTCGCAACCATACAATTAACAGATATTGACATTGAACAGAGTTTCCACCTCGTTCCGAGATACACCATTTGTTGAAATGGATGCAAATATCACTGATGAACCGTATAAACGCCAGATATTTAAAATTGGTTTTACAGACTGCATTTAAATTCACTGAAATAAACATTTTATATATGGAATTGATGAGACTGGTTTGAATTTACGTACCATTTAAAAGAGATATGCGGAATTACACGAATATTTCATGAACAACCGGGCTTTGTTTATTTTATGTGTCAAGTTCGTTAAACAGATATTCGCTCAAAATTATTTGTTTGCAGTAACCGTTGTTTTCATTCGTTTCATAAAGACTGCGTTTTGTCACGGAAATTTATTGCCACGGCGTCCTAACAGAGCGTCTGTGTTAGAATGAGCTACATATAAATGCGGTATTTTGTGCAACTAATTTCTGTACCCGCTCGTCTGGCTGTAGTTTCTCTGGATTTACTGTCAGTCACTTCAAGCTCGAGTCAGTCGACTCGAGCGTGAAGCCATGACGTCATGCTGAGTGCTTTTCCTAAAAACTGCCCCTTACTAACTAACGCAGAACTAAGAATCAGCTGATGTGTCTATACCACGTATTAGGACGGCTGTGCGCCTGCGCAGAACTAATTATCTGGTGTTACAATTGATATTAAGTGCAGCTAAAACTATAAGCGACCTTTGGAACCAATACTTGAGTCAGTCCAGTTAAATTAGTTTCTTAACCCTTTCGCATGATACGAGGTACCATGCTTAGACGAACTCATTCTTTGATCTAGAATCTGGCCTATGTGTTTTGTGTTTAAGAGTTTCAGAGAAATAAACTAAAAATAGTTTAAGAGTTTCAGAGAAATAAACTAACAAAATGAAATTTAAAACTCCATTACAATTTTTTTACAATTTTTCGTAGTGTAGTTTTTTGGAGGTCGTGTCCAGATATTTTCATATAATGGATCAACTTTATTGTTTGAAGTGATGCTTTTGATGTTTACATCGGTCAGAGATGAAATAGTAGACAACACAGTTGTGTCTGGAGGTGATCCAGAAGTATTACCGTATCCGATGAAGGTTTATTAACTGTTCCAATTGTAAATCGATTATTCGATATGGAACACAGAATGATATTTTAATTATTTTAATTATCTTATTTTAAATACATTGTGATTTGACGGAATAACCAAATAATTTAATTTTAATTTAATAAATCACAATATGACGCAACTACACTATCTTAAAAAATGTTGCTTTTCATTTATACAAATGATACGTCACCATGCAAATATTTTCAACAGAAGAATACTTCAGTCAATCTTTGGCGATGACACTCATAAATAATATTTAAGAAGTAAAAAATTTCCGCGTGAAGAATTAAGGGAAATTTAAATTAGTGTTTTAAAAGCGTTTTTATTCAAAAGTGAAACAAAGCAGTGTATACAAATTAAAATCATTTCTTATCTTCGCTTAATTACGGAAGCTGCGAAACGTTAACATCATATTTGCTGCGTTGCATAGAATTACCTGCATATAGTAAGCCGTGGATAAGTAAACAGTGTTTTGTTACAGTGATTTTTTTACACAAAGCACCATATTTAAATTAAAATTAAGTGGTGTTTATCACACAAAGTTAAACCTCTTACTTATCCTTTATTAATTAATTAACATAAAATTATTTCAAGTAGTGCAATGCCAAAAATGATATTACATCGAGATTATATTAGCTGCGCTGTATTATGCACAAGTCCTTAAACAAAATAGGCCATGGATAAATGATGAAGCAGCAGTTGAGTATTATATAGACAAATTCAGTCCGCATCGCAACGAAAGCACAGTTTACCATTACAAAGACGAATTGGTTAATGCTGTTTTGGGGATTAATCTCTGTTCACACTGAGAACCATGCGAAACTTATAAATATACTCGCTTGGCAAAATTCAAATTAGTGACTTGTAACGTATATGCCACATATAATTCCACTAAGCTTTAAATGGTTAATACCAGTAAGGGAAACGTGGACGGATCTCAATACTGAGCCAGCCTCAGTCCAATTTAGGCATAATATATATTTTATTTTAATATAAATTAAATTGTTTACTCTGAGAGGAATTTATGTGCACGTAACGTAGAACAGAGGCCCGGCTTCGAGACCAGATTAGTCCACGTTGGATTTATAGTGGACAGAGTGCACTTTGGTAGCTTTTACTCCGAATCCGTTTTCTCCTGTCAGTAGACTGTCATTACACTCATGTATTATCTAGGACATTGACAATAAGTCTGTTAGCGAACCCAGTTCCACAGAGACATAGTCTCACCCCATTACAACAATAAGACGGATTAATTACTTGCGAAATTAGGTACAAATGTAGGTACAAGAGGAGCTTCATGGTTGTAAATGTGTCCTATTACTATCATCCCATCTCTGTGGTGAGCATGGCTGTTGAATACAAGCCCTTCTGTTTCCTTAGGCTTCATTTTCTGTTGTAGACACGTACTCCGATTATCATGACACGTTTTTCGTGTTTTTTTAGACGCTGCACACAAAAGGTTGAACATAACATTAAAATGTAACAAGATTGCTTCTCTTCACGGCATTCTTGATTATCAAGGTGGCTGTCTTCTGGGTTGTAGCGCCGTGTAGCCTGGTAGATGTTTACCAACTTTTCATAGGTCTTTGTTGCCTCCATCATCAGGGCAATAAATGTCACTCATCTTCCTGATGATGGAGGCAGTATGACCTCTGAAACGTTGGTTAACATCGACCAGACTACACAGCGCAACAACCCAGAAGACAGAAATCTTCATACTCATTGCCGTGAGAACCTCAAATCCTACTTAATTATCGTTTACAAGCATTGTTCTTTCCAAAGCAAATTATATGTGCAGTTGAGAAAGTATTGCTAAATGTGCAATGAAGTTAAGTCATATTTCCGACCTTGGAAGTGAGTCTTAGATTCAGTATAAGCATAGAATTTCTTGGCTGTCTCATTTGGTCAGACAGTCAAAGAATCAGTTATCAGCAGGGCCTTAAGTGGTCGGTTAAATATTTAATCAAACAATTTTATTAGACAAACAATTAATTAATTACATGGTCAGTCACTAGCAGAGTCAGTTTATTTGTTATTTTCTTCGTAATTAGATACCAAGACAGTTATTTCGTTAACTAAGTAGTAAAATTTCATCACTCCTGTTATAGAATCTATACATTCAACTTATATATGTATTTAATTTATTGTTATTCTTCATTGCACATACTTAGTGTCCTTAAATGATTTACGTAAACAAATATAACCTATTTAATTTGTGTTATTGTGCATAGATTTTTATATTTAAAACAGATTTAATTCTGAACAAATAACACCATTATTTTGAGTCGCAATAAATTTCAAAGTATTCTTTTGTCACTTGAAGTTGATAATACATATTTTTTGCATGTATAAGTATAACAAAAAGTTTATTACAATATCAAATTAAACACAAACATAATAATAGAATTAAAATGTTGTATAGGAAGCCATATTTAGTACTCTTTACATCTTCGCAATGTATAAAAAACTTCCATTTTTATACAGAATATGTTAGAATTAGTTACACTTATGGAATATTTAATGCAGCTACACATACTGATTTAATCAAGAGCAATTATATATTAGATAAAATCATATTTGGGGTAATTTTACAACTATCAACAGATACCAAAGCAAAATTCCCTAATTAGTTTGCTGCTAATGATGGTTAATATATTATATCGCAGGTCATTTTAAATTTAATTCATATGCTGTAAGTTTATGGAATTAGCTTTCGACTCGCGTCTCCAGGGCCGTCGGTAGTCTACCGATTATCATGATGGATTATCTTCAGAGGGTTCTTAGTTTATTGCCCATCGCTTGTACTAACATAAAATATAAAAAAAATTCTGTCATCACAATGGCAACCATTCACATGAAAATGGGACTCGAAACTCCTTATAGTGCGCATTAAAACTACTTCCAATGACAGAAAATGTCACATATTATTTTCTTGTCATTCCAGAAACTTGTTAGCGTGTATATGATGCAAAGAACAAGCGTTCTTTATTACACTTTTGCAAAACAAGTCATCAAAATAAAACTATATATTTAGTAAGCAGCGGAAGACACGTTATTCTCTAACCAGTGATCCGCGACGCTGTTGGACGATGCTTGCCTTTTGAAACGTTTAACGCTTTTGATTTGAATTGTATTGTAAGACCTTGGTATTAAAATACGTTTGACAGGGAGAAAAGCTGCACGCCTTACGTACGGCAGTAGGTCTTAGCCATTACCCAGTGATCATGACCATGATAAATATTTCGTACTGTCCCAACAGTGCGACAGATATATTGAATTTAAATAATAGGATTTAATAATTTGAAGAAAACTGATCACATAATGGACAGGATGTAAAATTGTCGAATTCCTATAGGAATCTAGGAGTGACTTCTCGTTGAAAATAGAAATATTTGAATATCAACAAAGAGATAATTCGACAAAATATAAAACAGGCCCGGGACGGACATGTCTGCTCGAAACCATGAAGTAGTTGATGATGACGGAAGAATTTCTGAAAATATAAAGTAATGGTCATAAATTTTATTCAACCAAATGCCCTCGTCGAGTGGTCAGTACTCCTGTTTCGTGTCCTTAAAGGCCTGGCTTCGAATCTAAGCCGGAGGCTGGCTATTTTGATAGAGTTTCTTCCATGATTTTCTCAGGCTCCCCAGTTAAGCGACGGAATTTTGCCCTTAAATAAGCTATCCAATGTATCATCACAGTAATCTTAACCAACCATTGCTATAGGCTTGTAACCTAATGTTTTTTCCCTCGATGATTGGTAATTCAATAAGATTTATTACGACAGTTCTCAGGTTTTGTAAAAATGCTAATGTTTTGTTGATCAGGAATGTATAGGAATGTATCCACAATTTGAGCACCGGGTGGTGTACTCTGCTATATTCAAGTATTCTATCAGTGTGTACAAATGAAAGCTGGTCATATAATGGAGCCTTGAATGCTTTTACCATGCCGTAAACATACCAACTTTTGAGGCCGATAGGTAGCCATATCAATATGTCGACAGAATCAAAGACCTTTAAACATGTACTGAACCAATACTGCATTCCAAAATTATGCATTCGTCTCCAAAAGGATTCCATGGCTTTATTCAAGCTTTCTTGTATACCACATTTATTGTAGAATTGGCCCTCTTTATCCCCGTAATTCAGAAGACAGAGGTCAATGTTAAACTTGGAATCTGTATACATCAACGGAGAAACACAATTCACCGTTGAAATTTTTAGTTAATTATTCTAAAATCGAAGAGAAATGTCTATAAAGGATCGTCAGGAGACCTCGAGAAAGGGGCCGATCAGATAAATAATTGAGCCGTACGACTGAGGTTTTGAAAACTGAATTTATTTTGGACTGGAATGGCACTTAGCAACAAGCTGTTACAAATATGGTAACGAATCTTTATATTTCATTAAAATGTGGAATTATTTCTCCTTGGGTAGCCGAAACTTTTACAAAGAAGAGTTTGGTATTTTAATATAGTACATTCATTGTCAGTTACATCAAAATAAGTTTTATGTAAATCTATTTTTCCGTAAATCCCATATCTCCATATTTCTGGATATTTTTTTCCTTATTTGACACTTTATGTTACTCCTAGGAAAATATTACGAGAATTAAAGGTGAAAATGGCTGTCATCTGGGTTCTGTGCTTTGTAGAAACAGATCAACATTTCAGAGGTGCTTACTGATTAGTTATTAGGGCGTTAAGTGATGGGAGCAGTAAACATCTCTGAAACGTCTGTCAGTGAGAGACACGGCCGAAGATCCCAGAAGGCAGTCATCTTTACACTCTCGGCTGTGGGAATCTGAAATTTCACACCATTACAGATGTTTATTAAAAGCGGCACAGTTGAGAGTAGGATGTGGGAATCAATTTTGGATTACTGTGTGTTTTATGAAGCTGAAAAGAACCAGAGAAATCCTATGAGATAGGCAGCGACACTGTCGGAACCAGGTAAAAATTTGTCGAGTTACTTTGTGGTTTATTTAAGGGTGATTTAGTAATTTACATAAGAATAATTAAGTTCCGCCATCCAAATTATAAATAAAGCCTGTATTGCGTAATCTGTTATTGTACTTCAAGACTCGCTAACGTTAACTAAATATCATTGTCACTGATAAATTAGAGTAATGGTTGTCCGTATTAATGAAGTTTTAATTTAATTATTTATTTCAACGTTTTTTTTAATTCGTTAAATTAAGCCTGTGGCAGTCATTAGATATATACTAATAATTTTACTTGTGCCTGTTAATAATCGTTTAAATATACATTTCGTGATTTACATAAAGTTATTATTATATAGTTCGTTCCTTTTTTAAAGTAAGTGGACATTACGATATAACTAAAGAAGAAGAACTTCGTCATTTACACAGTTTTATACTTTTAGAATAGTTGAATAAAACCACATCAACGCTAAAGTTTAAGGCAACAGGTTCGTCCGAAGTGTTGGAAGTTTCATTCAGTTAGACATGATATCATAACATAAAATAATCTTTCTTTCTCGTATTTTCAGTTCTCATACTATCATAACTACAATTAACTACTGATTTTGAGTTTTACTATCATTATTTATTGAAGTTTTATAAATGAGCGTGAATTTTTTTAACACACTTTTCTGACATTGTGTTATTTACGTATCTCCCAGACATAAACGTCTGGTTAATGCTTATTATTGACACGTGTAAAGTCGCAGAACTTGTCTTATTCTAAAACATAAATATCTGAGCATGTCATACGGCAATATGCATTATAATGTGTAGTAGCAACTTAATTTTAAATACTTTATACTAGATTTATTGTGTGATTTAATTGATATGTTATTATTTACAATTCTTTTTGTAATTTACAATTGCATTAACATCATTCGTAAGGATTTATTTCACTCACTAACACTTTTATGTCCTAAAACTGTCTATTTTTATATTATTCAAGTGCCTTGACTAACAAGGATTACGTTTTACAGTAACACGACATAGTATCTTTCAGTTATCTGTAGTCTATATCTGATTTTTCTGCCTCACTTTAATGTTCTCACATGTTACATGTTTTTGTTTCCATATTTTAGTATTTTCCTGTAAATATTAATTAATATGATTACTTTATTATTGTTGTTACCCAGAATTGTTGGAGCTGTATTTAATTCTTAATAATAAACCATCTTTTAATCAAAATGTTTACGCGTATGTGTAATTACTCCGCTTGAAACACGGCAGAGCTACACAAAACTTTGATATCTTTTTCCTGGAAAGCATTAAGAGTGGAGAATGCATAACAAAATATTGTGGCAAAATCCGCGTTCATTACTATAAAATTTAATTACACTTCACTGTGAAATCAAGCAATTATCTTACGAACAACAAAGGGTATCATAAAAAGTGGATATTGTATCAGGTTAATTTATTATGTTTTATTCAAAAGTTACTGCTTCTCAGAATTAATATTTTATATTACTGCTAGATTTTACAGATTCTGAGTATTATTTTTACATATTTTATTTTCTAACAAGAATAACATTTGACACAGGTGGTGTACTTTCAGATAAATGTATCTTATATTTATTTATATATTTTGTTAATCGCTCCTGATTATGATTTAATAACTTTTATTTTAAATCTTATTCTTCACTCATTTCTGTGCACTTCAAGTTTAAGAAGAATGCTGTAAGTAAAAATATGACAAAGTATATATTTCTGTCTAACATAAATTTGTAACTCACTGTTAGTTGTGATAAGGTGGCTTCGACTTGTTCTCTTTCTTTCGCAAGATTTACTTGTCAGGTAAGTAGATGTCTCTGCAGATACAGCGAGTCCCTAAATTACTGTGCATTCATAGACACTGATACTGGTATATGCTATAGATACAATTCACTTAAATAATATCAAAATATTCTTCTTGTCTCTTTCTCTTTTTGCTTCCCATTTTTAGACCGTGAATAATTGTACAGATGACTGACACCGGTATGAACAGTACCCTGTGTTGCCGACCGATAGCTAACTCCACTGTGCCCCTCGATAGCTGCCCACTTACTACGTTCAGTGTGGGGTTGTATCCAGCTTTTTAGTCCAGCAACATCACCACTTCTCTGGTCCAGAAACCGGCGG